ACTTCATTAGTCTATCAATACTTAAATTAAAGCAGAGCTTAACTATTAAATTTAATGATGTCAATTATGTCATTATAATGTCATTGTTTATTTCAGAAAAAATAGAAAAATGGCTGAAAGAAGGTACAGTTGAGCTAAAAGTCACTCGTATCAATATGCATGGTCTACCTGGAGCTGGTAAAACATGTTCACGACACCTCCTACTTAATGAAGACCCACCATCTTCTACTGATAGTACACCAATAGCTTGTCCTGCTGTTAAGGCAACAAGAATATCTGTTGATGATAAGAATAAGAAATGGGAGAGAGTTGAAGTAAAAGATTTGTATGACCAACTAGCATCTCATCTAAAGGAGGTACCGAATGAAACGGAACTTGAGCAAAAAAAGGATGAAGCATCACTGAATTTAGATGATATATTTGATAGTTCAGATGATATATTTGATAGTTCAGATGAAGATGAAATTGATGATAAAACCGATGATGAACCAATCGAAATTAAGCCAATTGAAAAGAAACCAGTCGAGAATGAACAAACTGAGATTAATCCAACTAAAGTCAACCCAACAGAAACAGAAGTAGTGAAAAAAGTTATGAATGCTGAAACGTCTAAAAATTTTAGCACAAATTGGGTTTATTTTATTGATTCCGGTGGTCAACCAGCATATCGAGAGTTGCTACCTCTTTTTACAAGAGCAGCTGCACTGAATATCATCACCATTGATCTTACCAAAGGTCTTGATGAGAAGTGTGAGTTTCAATATCGCATTGATCAACATGTGTCTCCTATTAATACAGACCTAAAGTATTCTAATCGCGATATAATATGCTCGACAGTTAGCTCCGAAGCTATGTTAAATTCCATCGAAATTCCTTATGTCGCCGAACCTGAAAAGCATAAAGGTATTCACGCTCGCTATCTTGTACTTGGTACACGTAAGGAATTGGTAACTGAAGAAGAGCTAAAAGAAATGGACAAAAGCCTGATAAGTAGCTCTAGCCTGGACCTTAAAAATATCATTCAACGTGTACCTGAAAAATCGATCATATTTCCAGTTAATACGTTGCTCCGTGGTGGGTCTGATGAAAGGAAAAAGGCTAGCATAGATCTTTGTACTGCAATTTCAAATTGTGAACTGGAAATTACAATTGAGTTACCAATTCGATTGCTTACTTTTGAGATTGCACTTCAGTTGGAAGCTATGAAGAACAAACAAAGTTTCCTTACAAAAGAAGAAGTCATTGAAATTGGTAAGTCTCTCCGACTTGATACAAAGTCAGATATCAATGATGCTCTGCAATATTTACACAATGTCACTATTATTCTTTATTATCCTGCTGTCCTACCAAATATAATATTTGTTGATCCTAAACCAATTCTTGATGTCCTTTCACGTCTAATAGCTATCACATACATTGACCAATCTAATCTACATTTAATAGCAAAAGCATCTGATGAAAGAATACGTCTCAAAAAATATGGCCTTTTCAAGGAGGGTCTTTTAGAAAAAATTGGTCAACAAAAAATTTTTGATAAAAATTTTGAATCCTCTCACATGATCAAGCTTCTGGAACACCTCCACATTATTGCCAAAGTAATAAACAAAGATGAAAAGCAAAATGAATATTTTTTCCCATGTGCATTACCGTCATGTGATAAGCTCAATGACCCCCCAACAGAAATACAACCACTTCTCATAGCATGGGAGATTAACAACAGTGGGACAGCAACTCTAGCCATCCCTCAAGGTTTATTTCCTTTAACCATCGTACACCTTTTGAAAGAAAAGAATGTAGTAGACTTCAGTCCAGATCCTGATTCAGACAATGAATTCTACAGATATCATGATGCCATGTCACTTCGTGTTTACAAAGATCACTTCATACACATCATCAATTGCTATACACATATCAAAATACAGTTTCGTGGTAACTACAAGAACTCTTGTCTTAAAATTCGTGAATTAGTCACAGAAGCAATCGAAAAAAGCTGCAAAGATCTTAAGTGTAAAAATAATTATATCTTTGCATTTCTCAAGTGCCCCAAAAAGGAACATTACTGCATTGTCCGGAAAGATGATAAATCTTCTCCCTGGTATTCTCATTGCACTCATTGTGAAACCCAATGTAAAGTACTGGAGAATGATGATAGCTATAGATGCTGGTTTTTTAGTGAATCTCTATTGTCCAGTCCAGGTTAGTATACACATAATAAAAAGAATGATCACAAAATTGAGATTGTGTCCCATTAATTGTGTCATTATTATTATTATTCCTACAGGAGCTGAGCCATTATTAGAAGGTCCACCTACTAAGAGACCTACAGTGCAATCTTCTGAATTAGGTAAATAAATTAATTACTAGTATATGATGCTTCAGAATGCATTACAATTTTCCATTAGATACATGCCATCTTGTTGAAATACGTGATTTACTAAAGAAGCATGGATATTCTGGTGTTGATTATTATGATCTTGGTCTTCGTCTGGGACTACTCCCTGCTACACTTGATGTTATTGAGAAAGATAACAAAGGAGATACTAAGAGCTGTCTAAGAAAATGTTTGACAGAATGGTTGGAACAAAAAGACAATGTAAAGAGTAAAGGTGTTCCAACTTATGATACATTAATACAAGCATTGAGGGACGAAGGAGAGAATACTGTAGCTGATGGGATTGAAAAAGATATCAATAGTAACAAGAGTAGATTATCTACTCTTGATAGTAAGGAATGAGTTTACTAATGATTTATAATGATTATTATTATAGCAAAGAAATGAGAAGGTTTCACTAGAAGTAACTCTAGGATTCATATACACAGCACATATTATTTAATTATTTTAAATTATTAAATAAATTATATTTGTGTTCCAATTTTTGTAAATGTGAAAGCACGTGGTTCAATTATACGGAGTATATAACGGAAACTGTCGGAAAGTACAAGATTCTTACAAAGTACAAGATCGGTATACAGAAGTGGGATCAAGCCTCTTCCTCGGCCTCTTCTTAAAGAATGAGTTCCATATATATAACAGAGCCCCCTACTAAAGGAAAGGTAGTTAATCCAGCAGCAGCTGTATTAGTGACTACTGGCCCCTCCCCTCAGGTACTATTAAAGACCACACTGGGTGATATTGATATTGAACTGTGGTCCAAAGAGGCTCCTCTGGCCTGTCGTAACTTCATACAATTGTGTTTAGA